TTGTTTGGGCGGTTACGGCAACCGTCCACAAGGTCCTCATCTGTCGACACGTGTCTTACACCGTCTCGCCAAACGCTTCTACCAATTCCAGAACTCAACTGGTCCGACCGATCATTCCAGAGACTAACTGGTCGCTAGACCAAACGACTTATTGGTCGCCCCATCAAGCGACCAACATCTGATCTTTCCAGACGATACAATGGTCGCCCCAACCAAGCGACTGAACTACTGTTCACTTAATTAACAGACCTTCGCTTGGTCCAAACTCCGTATTGGCCAACTCAACCGATGGCGGACCAACCAACTGCGAACCAACCGACTACAAACCATCCCATCCGACTGCAGACCTTCCGACCTGCCTATCCGACCTACCTATCTGACCGATGACCAACCGACCTGCTTATTCGACTGCGGACCAACTGACCGTGGACCAACCGACTTGAGTGCATATTTTTTCTTTTTCCGCCGGACTTCGTGTCCTAACTTCCTTTAAGATTCTGCTATCATTATTATTATTATTATTATTATTATTATTATTATTATTATTATTATTATTTGTGGGTAACACTAACAAAATATTACATCAATAATTCTTGAAACACAAACCAAATTATATGTATTACTTTGCCTTTGGCTTAGGTTTGTGATTTGTATTTTTGAGTAAAATTAATTATTTGATATGTATATTTTTTATGAATAAAAATGATATATTTTTATAAAAAATATCGGTATTTTTATAATTAAAAAATAAAAAATTATTGGGTCACTTTATTAGAATTAAATTGTCTTTCGGTAATATTAACAAAGGTATTTTTTCACCCTTTTTTCTAATAATATTTGCAACTTTTTAAAGTAAATTACATTGTAAGCGGAATATGCAAAACTTAGGCTCTATCTATGTATATACTTTTAGAGTTTTAAAAATTTTAAAATAATAAAATTTTACCATTTGATTTAATATCTTGTAACATAAAATTTATAAATATTTGATTTAAGTAATATTTATACTGAAATGATATACTATTAATAAATAATGTCAAAATTTTAAAAATATGTGAACAAAAAGGACAATATAAACTATTCTACTATTATTTATATTATAATTAATCAGTACAATGCTTATAATTTCACATTAATATAATATTATCTATTTTTTTGTATGGATTTATTTTGTAACTCCTCGGAATAATATGTAAAGTAAATGCTAATTTATAATCATTAATTTTTTTCTTTATTTTTTAACGTTTGACTTAAGTTTATTTTTCCAAAAGAAATAAATTTTTTTAAAGAGATTTATTTGTTTGTTTAGAATTTTAGTTTGAGATTTTTATCTTTTTTTTTTGTATAAATTATAAAAATTGTGTTGGTAATCCTATCCTATATCCTATATATAACTATGCAATCTCCTTTTTTGGATTTTAAATTTTTTCAAAAGATATATATATATATAATTTTCAGTTACAGTTTTTCTTTTTTTAAATAATAGGGTAGTGGGTAGTTTTTTAATTTAGTTTTTTTTTTTTTTTAATTCAGTTTGTGTATCATACTTTGCAAAATACGGTAATTCGAAGGCGTATTCTCTCAACAATTTAGCAAAATCAAAATATCGGCGATTAGTCTTCCGTGTTGGATTTCGGAAAAGTGTGCTGAAAGTTCGACAAAAGCTCGGCAATGATTTGGTGACTTTCTCTTGTACCCATACTACATTTATTTTCAAATGCGTTTTTTCTAAGAAAATTGCTTTTATTTTTAGATTTGGTTAATCAATTCTGGATAAATTTTATTTTTAATATATTTTGCAGATATTTTCTATTTTATTTGCTTTGCAGATAAATTACGATTTTGAAAAAGAAGGTAACACACAATATTCATTTATTTTTGATATATTTTACCGATATTTTTTATTCTATTTATTTGCAAATAAATCACATCTTCTAGGTAAACTATAAATATAATATTCATCTGTTATGTACAAATATTGGATAATATAATATTGTTCTATGTGTTTTTTAAATTTTTATTTTTATTTTTGGTATATTTTGATTTTTACTGATTTAAAAAAGTTATAATTAATATTTATTTATTTATTTTATTTTTAGTATTAATTATGACTAATTATTTTAATTTTTAAAATTGATAAACAACAATTTATATAAAAATACAAGTATTTAACCACATTAAATAATATTAATTACTTTCTATCTATTATTTTAAAAAAAATACTTTTTTTTCTAAATTTAATATAAAATATTTTTTTTATTTTAAAATAAGAATATAAATAATATTTATTTGATAAAAAATGTTTTATTTTAACTTTATTTTAATTATACCTTATATACTTTTATCATTCAAATATTTTATTTGATATTAATTAATTATATATTATTTTAAATTAAATTTATATATTTATTAATTGAATATAAATTATAGTGATAGATTCAATTGAAATTAAATTTTTATTTTTATGTTTTTATTTTAGTTTTTTATTTCAATAATTTGACATTATTCTATTTTATGTTATGTAGTTTATTATTTGTGAAATATATATAGAAAATAGAAATATAACATTCATAATAAATATAATTATTTGATATATTTTTGCAATTTTTACTATTTTGAATCAGTATTACATGATTTTCTATTAATAATTTTATATATTTTAAATTGATAATTTACTTATTTAAATATCTTCAATATAAAATTGAAACAAATAATTATTTAATATTTTGGTAAACTAAAATTAAATGTAAGAAATAAATTTTATTTTTATTACATATATTTATACATACTTTGTATATATTATAATATGTTATTTTTTAAAGAAGAAAAATATATATATTAAAAAAAATGATAAGTAATTCTTTTTTTTTTTTTTTTATAACTTATTTGCATATTTTACTTGAGCGATTATGCAATCTTATAATTTTGCATTAGTATTTCAATTATCTAATACTTCCTATAGCTATTTTGTCTCTTTTAACTTAGACACAATAATTTTATTTGGAATGTATTATGCAAAAAGTACGTAAATAATAATTTTATCAATTTATATTTACATTGAAATTAAAAATAAAAATTTATTCATTTTTTTAAGAATAAATATAATTAATTATTTTAATTTTTCTCAAATAAAAACTAACATTTAAACATACATGTATAATGTAACATTATTTTATATATTTCAAACTAAGCAAAGTGATAATAGACGTCGAAAACATCGAATTCAAGATATCTCATTTTACAAAAATATTCTTTTTTTTTTATATATATATATTTTTTCAAAAATAAAAATATCAAAAATATTTTATATACTTTTACTAATAAACAAAATATCATAATTTTTTAATTTACTAAAGAAAAACAATGAGATAATTTGAATCGGTCAGAAGGAGTACTACTTTTTTGTTATTTCCTGTAAAATACTTTCGAAACAATAAAGTGGAATTGAAAAAGTATAAAATGTGGATGCATGAGCTTTTTTTTCCTAATATTGTGAAATGTGTTATGTTGTATAAATTTTAAAGTTAAACAAATTTATGTAGCTTGATATAAATCACTATTTAATGAATTATTTTAAATAAAAATTAAAAAAATATACTTTTTTTTTCGTTTCATTATGAACGTGGTATTTTGGGTTTAGTAGATTAAAAAATAATACTCCTTACGTTCCGGTGTAAGGATGTCGTTTATTTTTTGCACGTAGATTTTTAAATATTAGTATTATAATGGGTTGTAGTAAAAATGACAAAAATGCCCCTATTAGTATTGTGTAATATAAAAGTAATGACATCGGTAGTACAATAACTAAATTAGAAAATAATAACATTATTTTAGGACGAACGAAAATGAAAAATGATAACTTTTCAATAGGACGAAAAAAATAATATTTTTATTAGTTAGTGAAAATATGTAATAAATTTTGACATCTAACTTTTAAGTATAAAGTAATGATATATTTAAAAGTTACTTTAGACATAAAATGATACAAATGATATTTTGAGTTTAATCGAAAAAGTATAATATAATATTAAATAAAAAAATTGTATATAATATAACATATATTAAATAAACAGATAAATAACGTGTACTGGTAATAAAAGCATTGGAATAGTTTACACATTACTACGGTAATTTAAGTGATTGAACACTCTTTGACACGTGAATTTACCTATAATGAAAACTGATATAATTAATTTTTAGAAAGTTTAAATATTTATATCCAGTCTCATGTAAATATTTATATTTTTCATTTTTTTTCGTTTCACGTAATTTATTTTTTTAAATTATAATTATACATTGTATTTTAAATTTCATAATTTATAATTTTTAAAAATTTTAATTAAATTATTTAATTATTTTTATTATATCATATTTCTTCCTTTCTACAGAATTTATTTTTATTTTTTATTTTCATCTCTCTACATAATTTGTCATTTACTTTTTAGAAAATTGATTATACATTTTAATCATATTTTAAAATTTAAATTTAAATTTTTTTTAATTTTAATTAAACTATTTAGTTATCTTAATTTTAATTTAATTATTTTTAATATATAATAATTATTTTTACTAATAAATTTACTAATTACTTACTAATTATACTTTACTTAAATTTTTTTTATTTACAGTAATAGACGGATATTATCTAAGATGGAGTGAGGGAGTATTATTTATTAATATATTTTTAAATTAATTACTAATTATGTTTTTTTTTGTAAATTTTGTTATCGCAATAAATGAACAAATTTTCTGGAAAGAAAGAGAGTATATAGTTAAAATTGTGTAAATACTAACAAACTAAGCATTGTCGTTAGCACATAGTCGAGAGGAGGGAGAGGATTGCAGAATTGCAGTTGCAGCAGCAGAAAAATGGTGAGGTGTGGCGTGGGAGCACAATCATGACAAATTGGACAGCAGAGTAGTGCGAGAGAGAGAGAGAGAGAGGGCTTCACAGCAAAGCCATGTCCCCATCCAGATTCCTCAGGTCGCATTAACAAATCATTCACATTCACACTAGAATTTGCAGCAGTTTCATATTAGGGTTTCGAATTTCCCCAAATTATTGTTACTACTGTCATTATTCTTCCCCATTCCTTCCCCTCTGCTCCTACATGTCCAAACCCCAATCCCCACCCTTTCCCCCTTTCTAATTTCTTTGTTTTTATATTATTATCAATATAGAGATAATTATTCTCTCAGGATTGCTTTCTTTTTGTCCTTTCTTTGTCTTTCCCAATTCCCACACCCTTTTTCAAGAGTTTCTTCGCAAAGTGCAGCTGGTTCACACACACACACACATACGTGTATATATTCTGTTCTCCACCCCCACCCTTTAGGTGTATAAATGGGGTAGGGCACTCACTTTCCATTACACTTAATAGGCTTTTTTTAAGCATACAAAAATAAAAATAAAACATCACTTGTTAACTTTGCCAGAAAATGAGCTTCTCAAATTCATCAATGAGTTCGGGTAATTAGTTCGTTCAAGGATTGATTTCTTGCCAGTTTTTGGTTTTGATGAATGCAGTAGATTTTATTTATGTTGCTCTGTTTTTCCTCTGTTTCTGACAACATCTGTATTTGTTTTTTTTGCAATTATGTTGTAGGAAGTAGAACAGGTCGAAGATCGTATGAATTTGGGAGGACCTATGTTGTCAAGCCTAAAGGCAAACACCAAGCCACTGTTGTCTGGTTGCACGGCCTCGGCGACAATGGCTCCAGGTATCGACCTATCTCCTGCCTTCATGTATACAATTTTGATTCGAAAGAACATCCTTTGCACCTCAAATATATATATATATATATATAGATGTGGGTGTTGTTAATTAGTTTATTCAGCATTGTGGTGAGAGTACACAGATGATTGATAACAGAACATATGATTTTCATTAACAATTGAAATCACGACAGTTTATATTTCATTTTTGGTCGAAATTAATAGTAGTACATGTTATATGAACTATTGTGATATGCCATTAGTTTATACCCTATGCTAATTATCTATAGTTCATGTGTTGTTAAATAATACATGAATAAAGTAATTTAGCACTATAATATGGTATATATATAACATAGGTAAAATGTCCCATCTTCGGCAACCATTTATCCCGGCTTTACTGAAAAAAGAATATGGTTTAAATGTTGAATATTGATACATGTAAAACATACTTAGATAAAAATGTCCCATCTCCGGCGATCATGTACACTGCTTTATTTGAAAAAGAATATCATCTAAACTTGAATATTGGTATATATATATACATATAAATATAATACTTAGATAAAATTGTCCTATCTCTGGCGATCATGTACACCGTATAAAATATAAATGATGAATATTCGTGTATATATATATATATATATATATAACATACTTAGATAAAAATGTCCCAATCTACTACTTTGTTAGAAAAAGAACATCATTTAAACACGCGAAATATTGGTATATAGGTATACTTAGATAAAACGTGATTTATACTACTTATATCATAATTCAGTAGTTTCTTGATGAATAAAAAAGATTGGGAATTAGTTAAAAGAATTTGCTTCTTGTGTTGCTCGGTCGATTTACAGGTTTGAGGCTATATATATATATATTCATATTTGTCATCTCGATGAAGAGTGTATTGATTTAATTAAATTAGTGTGAGCATATCGTTTTTCTTTTCTATCTTGTCACGTACGATGAAAATGCGTTCATACATACTTTATGACAAAGAGGCGGGCTTTATATCGCTAAAGGGTGGTAAAAAAGTTGAAGAGGTTCATCGAGGAAACCTTGTTTACATACTTAGGAACATGGTAGGATATTCATACAGTAAACTTTAGACGATGTTAGAAAAGAAATCAAACTTTTTAAATTTGGTTATGTAGGCGGGGCGACAATAACAGTTGCTATAAATCACAGTGCTTATCGCTACTTTATATCGTGTCCCATTATTTTTCTTTGTTGTCTTTAAATTTTACGGGCCCGCACGTTCATTACAAAATCAAGAAAGAAGATGAGGGAACTTTTCCCCTTTTTCTCAAAGAAAGTTGTTTCCTTTTTATCTTGTAAGAATTCTTGGGTTATTTTCGTCGCCCGTTTTGTGTTTGCAGTTGGTCGCAACTTTTGGAAAGTTTGGCACTCCCGAATGTAAGATGTGTTCACTATTTATATAACATGGTAATAATTTTTCGACGATAGTTATTCGTGTAAGATTTTGACACTATGTATTGATGTAGATAAAATGGATATGCCCGACTGCCCCTACACGGCCCGTGGCTATACTCGGGGGATTCCCTTGCACTGCTTGTAAGTGATGTGAAGACGATCGTTTCAGGACCAAAATCGATTTGTGTGGTTTGTGGTAATGAATGTGTTTTCTCTTACAACAGGGTTCGATGTGGGAGAGCTGTCTGAAGATTGTCCCGATGATTTTGAAGGTTTGGATGCCTCGGCTGCGCACATCGCTAATCTGCTGTCCACGGAGCCTGCGGACAGTACGAACTGTTTCATATGATATGCGATTTGGGACATTAGTAAGGTTGTCCTGAAGAATGTTTCGTCTGTATGTTGTAGTTAAACTCGGAATCGGGGGCTTCAGTATGGGGGCCGCAACCGCTCTTTATTCTGCGATATGCTTCGTTCATGGCTACTACGGGAACGGCTATCCGTATCCCGTTAACCTCAGGGCCATCGTAGGCCTAAGCGGTTGGCTTCCCGGGGCCAGGTTCGCACCGATTCTTTTTAATACAAACACATTATTTGTCGTATCATAGTACGGAATGTAAGAGAAAACTCGACTCTTTTGTCATTTCAGGACAGTGTGCAACAAGATCGGAGGAGGATCGTATGAGGCTGCAAGCCGGGCAGCATCTCTCCCGATATTACTGTCGCATGGGAAGTGTACGTTGAATCATCGTTAATACATCTTGCTCCGCGATTCCCATGTCGATATTGTATGTGATGAGATTGTCCGAATCTTACCAGGCGACGAAGTGGTTCCCCATGAACACGGCGAGAGGTCTTACCACGCCCTGAGCCTGGCCGGCTTCCGGAACTTATCCTTCGAGAGCTACGACGGGTAAGTATTGTCGAAACTTATACGCTTTTTTTTTTTCCCTCGAAAACTTGAGTTTAAGGCTCTGTCTATACTTTTGGAAGTTTCGATGCTACCTCCGTCCAATTCTAAAGGTCCGATTTATTTTTTGCCGTGTTGATTTTTTAATATTAATTATTATATGAAAATATAATACAAATTAAGGAAAAATAACAAAAATATTTCTATTATTGTCTTATAATATTATTAATGACATTTGTAAAAAAAAATTATACAAATATAAGAATATGTTATATATAACTATGCAAAAGTTAAATGAAACTCTTAGAGCCGGACTGAGGTAGTATTATTTATTTATTATATAATATTTATAAAATATGGCATCAAATAATTATTAATATACGGTAATGATCAAATATCCAAATATTTACTATTTTTAATTTTAATTGGAATAAAAAGGCAATAATATTGATGAAAATTGGGTATTGTGATTTGGATAGGATGGGACATTACACTGTGCCGAAGGAGATGGATCACGTTTGCAATTGGCTAAACAGCAGACTTTGTGGGCTGTAGAATTAAATTAAATTAAATTAAATTAAATTAATTACATATATCATACTTACTACATATTGTGGTTTTGAGTTTTTGTAACAAATTTGTTCTGTAAGATTACTACTCTTTTATCTCACCCTGTCTTTTGCTCTTTGATTTGTGATATATATTGGGTGTGGTGTTCTTTTATTAGAATTTGATTAAAAATACATATTATCGTTTTTTTTTTTATGAAGAAAATATATTATTTTATTTATAAATGATTATTTTTAAACTATGTTCAAATTTCAAACTCACATTAAAAAATAAAATTAAACCCTAAAAGGATAGAATGGTTGTGTATAAAAAAAAATGTATACAATTGTATACATACATAATGAGGATCAATGCATGTATTACTGATATATATTTGATGGTATTTAAACAAACTGTGATAGCAAAAAGATTACAAAAGTAAAACATGACATTTTAAATATATTTTATCAGCGATATAAATAAAAAATAATAATAATAATTTAGTATACATAAATTTTTTATTTATACTTTTTTTGTGACTTTTCCAATTATGCATTTTTCGAATTTATTTTTAATATTTTACTATTGAGAAACAGATATTTTTATAAAGTGTTTGAAATAAACAATTTTTTGCTTTACACGAATTTTAGTTGGTCAAAACCAATATTTTCTATTAATATTTTGTATTCCGTTTTAAGTGTTATCGTTATTTTTAAAATTTTTTATCATTATTGTATTGAACTAAGTGATTTATTGTACGATATTTTCAAATTTGAACACCACACATCATTCACTTTAAAAATAAGTGTGAGCTTGATTCTTATATTATACTATCTGCGTTTGACTTTAAGGCTTTAAGAGTTCCATTTACTTTTTGCGTGTTGATGTTTTAATATTAATTATTATATCAAAACTTAGTACAAATTAAAAAAAAAATTGTAAAAATACTTCAATTAATGTCTTATAATACTAATAAAAGAATATTTATACTATGTCGGGCCTAGTTTGCAGGGTATTAGGTCCGACCGGGGGTTTAGTGCACTTTCGGGTAAACTACTGTGGGTTTCTACGTCATAAAAAAAATAAAAAATAAAAGAACATTTGGACAAAAAAAATATAAATATAAAAATATTTTTAATATTAAATATAATAACGAAAAAGATAAATATGACCCTTATTGGTAGCCGGAGACCAAGGGAGTACCGTTGTATCGTTGCATTGTTGAATTGCATTGAGTTTAAAGATGGTTATTGTTATTTTTGACACATGTGATATTTTTCTAATTAATTTTATTGTTTTTACTTATATTTTTTTTTAGGATAAAGAATTCAAAATAGAATTAGAGTTTAATTTATGAAATTGAAAAGAATGGTGTGAAAAGTAAATAAAATATATAAAGGTATTATAATATTTTTAAATTGATAAGGAGAGAAAACTAAAAAAAAGTATAAAAAGAAAGTAAAATAGAAATATTTATACTCCCTCCGTCCATTAAAATTAGTTTATTTGGTTCGGCACAAAAATTAAAAAAAAATTAAATATTTTTTTAAAAAAATGATAGATTGTTGTTGAAGGTATTTTTAAAAATTTAATTGAAAAAGTAAATAAATGAGAAAAGAATGTAATAAAATTAATAGTATTTATTGTAAATAAATATTGAATAAAAAATAATAATTAAATATTAATTTATTTGATTTTAAAAAATTAATAATAAAATAAATTTAGAGGACCAATTAAAAAGAAAAGTGAGACAAATTTGGAATAGAATGTAAATAAGAATTTATAATTAAAAAAATAGAATACTGTGTAAAAAAAAAAGAAATCCTAAACACTGTTTAGGGAGGGAGAGTATATGATTAGATTAGAGTTCCATTGAAATTCACTTTCAACTCCACCCAAAATTAGGGTTCCTCAGCCGCCGCCGCCACCGCCGCCACCGCCACCGTTGCTCTGCAATTGACATGAACTATAGATTTCAAAATTTGCTTGGGGCGCCGTATCGCGGTGGGAATGCCGTCGTCGTGAACAATACTTTGCTGATTTCGGCGGTAGGGAATAGAGTTTCGGTCACCGACCTAGTCAAATCGGAGACGGTAACCCTCCCCTTCCAAGCTTCTACAAATCTACGCCGCATCGCAGCATCACCGGACGGCGTGTTCCTGTTGACAGTGGACGAGAACAACCGTTGCTTGTTCATAAACCTCCCCCGCCGCGCGGTTCTGCATCGCCTCTCGTTCAAGCATCAAGTCGGCGACGTGAAATTCAGCCCTAACGGACGGTTCATCGCCGTCGCCGCCGGCAAGCTCCTCCAGATATGGCGTTCGCCAGGGTTTAGGAAGGAGTTCTTTCCCTTCGAACTGGTTAAAACCTTCGCCGACTGTAATGACCGTATAACGTCGCTGGATTGGAGCCCTAACTCGGATTATTTAGTTGTTGGCTCCAAAGATTTGGCCGCGAGGCTTTTCTATTTCGAGGAATCCAAGACTAAGAAGAAGAACAATAACAGTAAGCCATTCTTATTTCTAGGTCATAGAGATGTGATTTTGGGGGCGTTCTTTGGTGTAGATAAGAAAACAAATTCCGTTTCAAAAGTTTATACATTATCCCGCGATGGTGCGATTTTCAGCTGGGGATATCCCAAATTTGAGCCAATGGAGGAAGAATATTCGGAGCCGGAGTCGCCGGGGACGCCGGACGTCCGGCGGGGCCAGAACGGGGAATTAGTTAATTTGAAGAAAAGGAAGGATATGGAACACGATACGAATGATTCAGATGAAGACATAGGGCCTTTGTTGCATAATTTGAAGTGGGAATTGCTGAAGAAGGATTTTTTCTTGCAAGCTCCGGCAAAGTTAACAGCCTGCGACTATCACAGAGGTCTTGATATGGTAGTGGTTGGATTCTCTAATGGAGTGTTTGGCCTTTATCAGATGCCCGATTTTGTTTGCATTCATCTGTTATCGATTTCACGAGAGAAGATCACGACGGCTGTGTTTAATGGTCTTGGAAACTGGTTAACATTTGGATGTGCAAAGCTCGGGCAGTTGCTGGTGTGGGAGTGGAAATCAGAGAGTTATATTCTTAAGCAGCAGGGCCATTATTTCGATGTGAATTGCATTGCTTATTCGCCGGATTCGCAGTTATTGGCTACTGGGGCAGATGATAACAAGATCAAGGTGATTGATTTTCGATGGATTATCCATTTTTGTTATTTTGACAAAGTAGTTTTTGTCGAATAAGTGTTTTTTTTTAAATGCACTAGCTATTCTACATTGGTTAAAGCTTTAGCGTTTGTGGCTATAGGTTTGGACTGTATCTTCTGGCTTTTGTTTTGTTACATTCTCCGAGCATACGAATTCTGTGACAGCACTGCATTTCATGGCTAATAATCATTGTCTCCTGAGTGCATCTTTGGATGGGACTGTTCGTGCGTGGGATTTGTTCCGCTACCGTAACTTTAGGACATTTGTGACTCCTACGCCGAAGCAATTTGTTTCTCTAGCCTCGGATCAGAGTGGCGAAGTGATTTGTGCTGGAACTCTCGATTCATTTGAGGTGCTTTTTCTTTTTACTCATGAACCTGATGCTCGCGCCTGCTCTTGTTAGATTTACTTTTACTGATAGTGTAATGCTTGTGAATGTTATTAGATATTTGTTTGGTCGATGAAGACGGGCCGGCTGTTGGATGTTCTCAGTGGCCATGAAGGCCCTGTTCACGGGTTAATGTTTTCACCCACTAATGTAAGTTCTTTCGTGTTTTGTATTTGGTTCATTGTTTCTCGATAATGTGCATTGCTTTCATAATCCGTAGTGACTTTAATCTTCTTCCGATGCAGGCTATTTTAGCTTCATCTTCTTGGGACAAAACGGTTCGCTTGTGGGACATTTTTGAGGGAAGAGGTGGTGTCGAAAAGTTCGATCATACTCATGATGTCCTAACCCTTGCCTATCGTCCGGACGGTAAACAGCTCGCCTGCAGCACTCTGGACGGGCAAATCCATTTCTGGGATCCTCTTGAAGGCGTTGAAATGTATACGATCGAAGGCCGCAGAGACATTTCCGGAGGGCGTCTTATGACCGATCGCAGATTGGCTGCTAACTCCTCTGCTGGAAAGTGCTTCACAACATTATGCTATTCTGCTGATGGCAGCTACATATTAGCTGGGGGAAGTAGTAAATACATTTGCATGTACGATGTCGCCGAACAGGTTAGCTTTTCCATTCTCGCTCCTGTAAGATGTCATCAAGCCTCCCCTTACATTATTCTACAATTTGAGGTTGTTTGAAAGGCTTTTTAAAACGATTCGAGGTCTTAAGAGTTCATAATATATTATCTAATGTTAAGTTGTCATCTTTCTTCTCCGAACATTTTTGATGGAATCAATTTAGCCGCAGGTGTTCATATAGTTGCTTATTTACATATCTTGCAATGTGTTCGTCAACAGGTATTGTTGCGGAGATTCCAAATAACCCTCAACCTATCGTTAGACGGAGTTCTTGATTTCTTGAACTCAAAAAAAATGACCGAAGCAGGGCCATTGGATTTGATAGATGACGACGATAGCGACACGGAAGAAGGCATAGATAAGCAAACGCGGAATAAACTGGCGTATGATTTGCCAGGATCCATGCCCAATCACGGGAGGCCTATTATTCGAACAAAATGCTTGAGAATAGCACCAACTGGCCGAAGCTGGGCAGCCGCAACCACAGAAGGAGTGCTTCTCTATTCGATGGACGAGTCGTTTATCTTTGACCCCACTGATCTTGACGTCGATGTTACACCTGAAGTGAGCTTTACAATCATCATTCCTTTCGTCAAATTCATTATATGTTTATACATATATGTTTAAATTCATTTTTCCATGTAGGCAGTCGATGCAGCTCTGAAAGATGAACAACCAAAACGGGCGTTAATCCTCAGTCTTCGAATGAACGAAGATGCACTAATAAAGAAGTGTATTGTCGCGGTTGCTCCTGCCGAAATTCCCGCTGTTGCTGCTTCAGTACCCTTTCGGTATTTGCAGAGGTTAGTCGAAGCACTAGCTGCCCTTCTGGAAAAGTCTCCGCATCTGGAATTCATCCTCCGATGGTGTCAGGTTGATCTTAAAATCCAATTATTACAGCCATCTTTACATTTGACCATTCATCGTTGCCGTACAGTAGTTGTTTCTCACTAACCTCATTTTTTTCGCATCAGGAGCTGTGCAAGGTCCATGGGAGCTCGATTCAGCAAAATTCTAGAAATCTACTTCCTGCTCTTAAATCCTTGCAGAAGGTTATCACTCGATTGCATCAAGATTTAGCTGACACTTGTTCGTCCAACGAGTATATGCTTCGGTATCTATGCTCTACGAGTAACAAGAGATAGCTCAGCACACACGTCGCAATCTGAATCAACTCACTGGTAAGAAATTGTTAGAGTTCAACCATACGCAACTTTGTTTTGCAGTTTAGTACCCGTTTAAATTTTATTACATAATTCATCCGTGTATAAAATCTTGACAATATGGGATCTTTTGTGGCTATTTCTCGCCGAGATCAGTGAATTATGCAATAAAAATTACTTGTCATTTTATGCATACTATATATTCAATTATTTTCTTAGAGCACTTTTGAGTGTTGTTTTGGCATTGGTACTTCATTATTCCCAAATATCCAACGATTAGGCGGCGTTTTTCGTAGGTTAATCATCTTCATCTTTGCATTTGCACAAGGACTTACAGCAATCTCAAAATCAACAAAGGGCAATAGACGAGCATCTGGTTGCCGGAGGAAGCCATGCACCGGGATCGTATTCTTTGTTGCTTGCCGGGTCATATTTGTCGGGTCGGGTAAAGTTTCCATCTGAGCATAAATTTATTTACAGTTTTGTAAGATCTTTTAAGGTTAGTTGGATTATAGTATTTATATGTATGTATGTCATTGGGGTTTCAATTTCTTCCCCAAGAAATTTTGGTTATTGAGAGTGTTTGCATGGACGTGAGATTTTTGTTGTTCTTTACATGATGAGGGATATTTCGTAAGGTATTGTTAGAATTAGTGATTTTTTTATTTAAACTTTGATATATATATATATATGTATATATATTCATTTTTTTAACGTTTTAAATATATAGCGTCGAAGAAATTCAGGCTGTGTTTGGTGTTTGATTACATACAGGAGTGGGGGTTAGTTTGGTATGTAATATCGAAATTTATATGGTATAAGTTTTTGGATATGATATTTTACTAAATCAATACAAAAACTTGGTATGATAAAATATCATATTGTACTTAAAAAATTGGTATGGAAGATACTATATATATATTTATTTTATAATTTTGGAAAAATATTACAAAATAACAATTTTGGTATCAATATATAGAATTATTGATACACTGAGATTGTGTTTTGATATATGGTGATATACCTACCGAAATTCTCCCTCAGTTTCAATACAGTTGTCTTGTTTTTCTATTTTTGTCAATCTCAAAATAATTGTCTTGATTCATTATTTTTATATTATTTACACAATTTTTTACATTTTACAATCAAAGTTCTTTTCTTCAAACTAAATATAAAACAATTTTTTGAAAATAGTTGAATATAACTATTTGAGCAAAAATAAATTTTGGTCCAATTGAAAATTTTTATCAATTTTAGTCTCACTCAAAAGAAAATTTATCAATTTAAGTATTATTTGTTCTCAACACAACCATATTTTTAATGTAATGATATTGTAGGTTATTTATTAGTATTATTTTTATTTTTTTTTAAAATTATTTGATATATATTTATAATTCAATATTTTTGCAATTATTTTTTAAAATATTAAAAATTAATTAATTTTTATATTATGAAATAATTGTAAAAAATTAAAAAAAAAATAATATTTATATATATATTTTTAATAATCATAATTATACATATTTTTTTATAATTTATTGTAAAACTTTTAAAATATTATTTTGAATTAATATATTTCTAAAATTATAAATTAAATTTATTTTATTGTGTTTTAATATTTATTAAGTTAAATTAGTTGTTGGATATAGACTGATTCGAACTGTTAGTTTCAGTTTTGGTTCGATTTCAACAGCTTCAATCCGTGCACTACTCAAATTGGCGATTTTATTTTTGCTTTTTTTGGTTGGAAACAATAGAAGTGTAGAAAAAGTTAATTAAATAATAATTAAAAAAAGGTGAGTAGGAATATGCCACTATGCAATGGGACTGTCCGAATTTTTGTATTTTTATATAATAATAATAATAATAATAATAATATTGAAGTGGTTTGAAATATTTAGTTTGTTTACTACCATTTTTCAATTAAATAATTCTTTATAAATATTATTAAAAAATATAAATATACACACATATTAATATAATAAATATATAATTCATTTATAAAAAGTCAAATATTTAACATAAAATATTATTTTTATAGGGTAAACTATTTTTTTTTTATTTTTTTTAGTCTCGTATCATAGACATTTTATCATTTTAGGACTTTAAGTGTGAATCCTGTATGAAAATAGTCTCGTAAGTAAAAATTTTTGCTAAAATGGTCCTCCGGTGCCGAACTCGTTACGCTGGTTTGTCGTTGCTGACGCGGCTGACATGTTATTGCCACGCAAATGCCACGTCAACGACACATAGATTTATTTATTTATTTTTATTTTAAAATATTTTGGTAAATTATTTTTTTAATCTCGTATGTGACCTCATTTTTTATTTTTAAGATATTTAAATGGACTTTGTCTCAAAATAGTCCCGCATGTAAAATTTTTTCGCTAAAATAGCCATCCGACGTGACATCTATGTGACGATGACATGTTAGCCAAATCAGCAACAACTGACAGCGTAGCAAGTCCGGCACCGGAAGACTATTTTAACGAAAAATACTGGACTATTTTCAGACAGGGTTCATTAAAGTTCTAAATTAATCAATAAATCGGATACGAAACTAAAAAAATAATTTACCATTTTTTATATTACACACGATCTTTTATACTATAGAAAAATTTCAATTCATCTACACTGAGTGAACAGTTTTTACATCATAATGTATTTTTTTTATAAAATTTAAAAATAATAATATTTTATTAATTAATATAAATATAAAATAATTTTGATATCTTTATTTTTTATATTTTAGGTATATATATAGTGATATATTTATAAAAATTAAAAATATATTTTAAAATTAATAATTTAAATTTAGTTACAAAATGATACTATATTTTATTTATTTATAATTATATACTACAATTTTTATATTTTGTACGAGAGATCACGGTTAATTTAATATATTTAATACGAGACCGATAATTTTTTTTTTTAATATTTTAATTGAGACCGATGATATAAAATTTATATATAGTCCTAAAATAAATTGAATTAGCGACTTCTAATAGAAAACAATGTAAAGCGACTATACGAGCGAGTAAACATGAAATGACTATAATATGCAAAAAGAAGCAAATCTTTACTATACTCTTACCCAGTCCAGGGACCTCAGGTTTCATAAAAGATCCAAACCAAAGCTAAGGAGTAATGGATAGTCCAGTCCTTCTAGTCCCGGATCTTATACTATTACCCTAACAGTTTTGGAGGTCCGCCTTTTGGGGCGTCCTATATATACGTTTGATTTGAGCCCTCCCTCCTCTTCGTCGTCCTTTTGCTCAGACGTAGAAATTCTCTCGCCGCCGTAGCCATATCAATTTTCCTCCGATTTCAAATGGCTGCGAGTAAGTTCACTTCTGATTCCTCTTTACTTGATACGTCTCCTGCTTGATTGTGGTGTTGTTAGTTCATTGATCCTCCTGGCAACCGTATATATGTATGTGGGTAACCTGTTTCTTATTTATTTTTTGTCATTGATTTTTGTTCCAGGCGGTTTTGGAGTTTCTGGCGTTCGGATGAAGAGCTTGGATTGTGGCTCCGCGAGCCGCACATTGGCAGCATTACGGCCTTCGCTCGGTTTGAGGATTCCAGAAACGATTCGATTTGATCAATTTGTGGTGTCGCGTAGATCAGCAAAGCCAGTAATTGCCTTGCAAAGTTCGGTTTCTAAAGCAGATCGTGAGTTGAATTTCTAATTCTATGAATTAGTTTCTCGATATCTGACAGTAGCCCTACCTGTATGGCTTCAATGTTGTTTGTTACGTTGTGTTCTGATTTTTGCATTAGAGATGGAATCTTGTGTGTGTATGTTATTAAAATAATGAGATTATAGGCGCGTTAAGTTGAATTGATGCTCAATCAATTGTTTCCTCAACTAGTTGGAAATTACTAAAAGAAGTCTGCATTGAAGCAATGATCCTGGATTATAACTGCTATGTTTGGCTGTGTGACTGGTACTTGGTTTTGTAATATTAATGCGATGAAGTATAAAAAAATGAATGTATGTGTATATATATTTTTGATTGAAATGAATATATGCATTTGATTGAAATTTTTGTGTTTTCTGTATAGATAATTTATAAGATTATGGTGTATGTAATTAATTTGATTGATTTGTATTTTCTATAATGATTTGATAGGTAATTGGATCACCGGATAGTTTGGGGGTGTATCTTACAAGATTTTACAAACATGAGTAAATTCGATTTTGAATTTAAATAGAAGTACTTGTCTAACAAAGATTAAACTGTGGAATTCGTGTGGCTTTGCAATAGCAAAAACTCACTTTAATATTTGGATGGTAGGTGTTTTGGAAGAAGACATCCAAATATTTGTTATCTTTTTCCAGCCATATATTTTTTAAGAGTGGGAGAAGCGATGATGTGCTTGCTTGAATTCTGGTGTTGCATTAACTGCAAGTAATCTACGAAAATGTCAGTGTTTATATTTTTCTGAATTTGGTATCTATCATTTGTAGGACATTAAATACAAATTAGTTTTATTTCTACACCGATGTTTTTATATTTACTAATGTTGGTTAAATGGCGCCCCTCTTATTGATTTCATCTCAAGAAATTGAACTCAAGGGGTGAATTTTTAACAGAGTAGTGATCACACATGAAAATTTGGTGTAGAATTTAATTTATGTTGGCAGTTCGTATCTTTCTAATATGGACTTTTTGCTTTGACAGCAGTGAATGCCAAGGTGGATGATCATTTGAAAGATACACATTCATGTGTTGCAGTAAAGACAGATATACCCAATGCTGCTGAGGCAAGTCGTTCATTTTTGCTTGCATGTAATACATTGTATTCTTATGTGATGTCATCACATCAATGATTAGATTATAGTTTAGTTTCCAACAAGTAGAAATGGAAAAATGTGATAAATTGATGATCTAGACACAGTTCTTTCTTTTATTCTCTTTATCCTGTTTTGTCGGATGCAGACAGCTGCCTGCATTTAATACCTTTGCTAATATATATGAAGTCAGAAATATTTATTGCGTCGTTATCTAGATTTTTGGAAACCCGCTGCCCGAACATAGCACTGTCACTTACCTTTTAGCTGTTGTTTTTCCTCTTCATATTGATGTTCTCTGATCATAGTTTGAAAATGGCTTGGATAAGAGAACATGGTTTAGTATGTATTTATCACTTTATCATCTGCAATGCTGGTTTCAATACTTTGAATTATTCGCTGCCCTGTCGAAATCCTCAGAAAAGGCTAGATTGTCTTTTATTTATTCTAAATCAGTTACGCCCAGATGCTCTGTTCTATGGAGTTGTTATGGATTGGGCAATGTTCTCTTGCTTTCTGGTGCTTGATGTGTGAATATAGGCCAAGTTTCTGTTAAGGAATTCAAACATTTTATGTTTTCTCTTTACAGATTGAGTCTTTATTGACAATGCTATGCGACACATCAATTGCCGAACTCGACCTTAAAGTGAGCATGCGTCCCTTGTTGTAAAACTTTACATTATTTTAAACTCGATATATTTTGATTCTATAATGTGGTTTTTCTTCTTGTTAAGATTGGAGGATTCCAGTTGTATGTTTCAAGAAATCTGGTTGATCATAGCGCGCCACCACAACCACCAGTTCCTGCTCCCGTTGCTATCCAACCAGTCTCTGGAATACATGATTCAAATGGCTCAGTGGAATCAACTTCCTTAACCCTATCGAAACCAAACCTTTACTCAAATGGGGCTGACACATTGTTTGAACAAGCTGCAGAGCTGGGCTTGACTGTACTTAAATCCCCAAGGGTGAATATGCCTAATATTTGCTTTTCTTGTTTTTTTAAATTACCTCTTTTTTATGAATGTTCGGACCGCTAATGTTTTAAATGCAGGTCGGGTTTTTTAGGAGATCTCGGACCATTAAAGGAAAGAAGACTCCTCCAGCTTGCAAAGAGGTTTTTGTTCTTATTATTCATTTGCTTATTCAAATTATTTGTGGAAATAATAATAAAAACCTGCTACAGTCTTCAGATGCTTTCTTCCTTCATTAAAATGTGAATAGTTCTTACATGTCCTGTTTTGATGTTGTTTGACAGAAAGACATAGTAAAGGAGAGTCAGGTGCTTTGCTACATTGATCAGCTAGGTGGCGAAATACCCGTCGAGGTTTGTTAACACAGGCTATTTCATTTTTATTATATTATATTTTTTTTTTTAAATTCCCAGATTCTTTCCATGCCAAACCACCCTTTCATTATCATGTTTCTCTAATAAGATGAGAAGGGCTAACTCTTTTGATCCGTTTGTGTTTGATTGTGTTTTACCAGTCGGATATATCTGGAGAGGTGGTTAAGATTCTCAGAGCAGATGGTGGTATGATAATCTCTTCCCTATTTTTTTTTTTTTTTTTTTTGTGGTTATGATATGCCAGCGTATTTAATAATTGATGAGCCGTTAACTGTCACAGAACCCGTTGGCTATGGTGACGCCCTTATTGCAGTGCTTCCTTCTTTTCCCGGGATAAAGAATATTCAGTAGGTACTTTTAGCTTATTGTCAGCCCTCAGCACAGGTTTTCTTTGGTTGCCATTCTATTTTATTCAATTATCTATCTATCTATTGGTTCATTGAATCCTAAATGCTAAAATTTGAGAAATGAGATCAACAGATTAGATTGTTTTAAATCGATTGCTGCGACAGCTATTATGTTTTTACATTGAGAATGAAAGAAGATTAGACATTTTTCCTGTTTTCTTTTTTTACTGATTTCCTTGCACCATTTGCAAGATTATATGATTAACCAAAACCCTCTGTTAAGACCAACTCCGGTTGAGACTTGGAAGAATTGAAAACAATGTATTTGAAATAAACTTGAAATGTGGGATTCTCAGGCAGATTTGTGTTTTTGGCTTGGCATAAAGATAAATGTGTGTTTGTGTTACATGACTTGTCAAAATTTATGACCTTAGGCCTCGATTATATAACTTTCACTTGCAAATTCCTCTCAATATGGGCATGGGAGTAGTAAAACGAATGGTTATATATATATATATATTAACTGTTTGTTAAAGCCCAATTCAGCCAGTCCATTCTAATCTGGACACATTTTTACAACATAAAAATGTAACAAAAACTCATAGTAAACATAGATACGTGATGTTTTATTATAGAGAAGAAAAAGGAAAAAAAAACACTATTTTATGTGATGTTTGTTTTTGAAAAGTTACAATTTTATGGATTGGTTGGATTTTGCCTTGATCAGTTTAGTTTTCTTTATTAATGGAATGAAGAGTAGAGTGTTGACTATTAGTGCTGCAGAAATTTTTATTTCCGATTCCCGATTAGGGTGCTAATTGCCCTGGTCACTGCATAAAAATAATAGGTAAAATTGCTCATATTTCTCATATGGTTTTGAAATTGTGTAAAATTTTTCGTTTTTTAAAAATTGCATGACACTCTCTTATATTTGTTGAATGAAATTTTACCCCTGAAACCTCCGATGTGTAATAGGATGATGAATTTCTATTTATATTTTTTGCATTGCGAAGAGTTTTATGCATTATATTTTAAAGTATAAGAGGGACGTTATGCAATTTTTTAAAATAAAGTAAAGAGTTACAATGAGTTTCGAAACCACAGTGAAGTTTCATGCAACATTTTTTGAAACTATAAGAGAGCTCCATACAATTTTTAAAATAAAAAGAGGATTTACGCTGAATTTCAAAATTATAAAAAAGTTATAGATAATTTTGCTAAAATAACATAGATAGCATATGAAAATATAACATATGCATACGTACCGTCAGTTCTATACGGTGTAGTAATGGCCGCCCAATTATGATTATTATTATGATTATTATTGTTTCCACTCTTCTTCCAAGTTGAAACAAGAATCAGATTTGCAGCATCAGATGTCTTCCTTGGCTCCATTTTTACTTTAATGGTGACGAAACAATAAATTCCCTTCTTGGAGCTTCAACAAATCGCGAAAATGTATATATGAAACACAAATGACTTGGGAATCTGCAACATCATCTAAAGATGATGCCAATGGATTATTCATCATCTCTCACCAGACCGATCTCGCGTACTCAACAGCCGATCTCGCGAGAGCCTCCATAGGGTCTACACATTTACTCCACAAAGGGTCCCCCGGCGGCAGAAGCTCCCGGAATTCATCCGAAGCAAGGACAACTCTATTCACCGCTCGCACGAGGAGAACCTGCAGAGCAATTCTGAACAAATTCTGAGCTCCTTCCAAGTCCTTTCGGCTCAGCGCCTCCACTGCAGGAATCACTGTATGCTCCATTGTCGCCTTGTCCGGAAGAACAACCTCAAACCCCTGCACAACACACAACCTAGCAGTCAAAAATTTACTCAGAGCGCACTTAAAGAGTAGCACCAACGGATTTCCACTAGGAAAAGCAAAAAAGACAGAAGTAACAATGATACCTCATTTTCAAGCTTGTCTTGGTAGAAACTACCAACCAATACCTCATTGGTGGCAAGAACACCTACGCGAAGAGGGCTTCCGGCCTCGAGTGGCCTCATCTTAGCTTCCTTGAGTTCATGTGCGACGCATTCACCAACATGAAGGAACGGAACCGAGCATCCTTCTCTAATCTCATCGTGCCAATGATGTAGTAAATGGCAAGGCATTGCTATGCAGCAAACTCCAGACTTCTCAAGAAAAGCCCTCTTACACCTCAAATTCGTGACTATTCGACTCTTATCATCATCATTTACCAACAAACCTTCATCCTTACTAGGCTGACTTCTTTCAAGAAACAAGAGCTTCTTGTTTAGAGTTGGATCTGAACAGAGGATAAAAGGTGGGCTACTTTCTTGACCATCTTCCCCCTTACAATTCACCAGCTTTTTGGTGAAATCCAGGCAAGAATCTATCGACACCCCTCCGATGATCCCGATGCTGTTGTCGCGTGGGGTTCTGATTCTCCTGTCTTCTGATGATTTATTAACAAAGACACTGCTTTCACATGCTTCAGCCTGGGGAAAGTTCACGAGGGCAGGGCTTCTCTTCCCCTGGCTTGTAGCATGTTTGTTCAGGCAACAGTTTATGCTTGATGGATAATTGAAGGATCGGAAACACAAAGACATTCTTGTACTAAAGTTTTAAGAATTTCCCCAACAAAACCTGCCAAGTGAATGAACATAAATGAATAACCAACAAAATCATAACCAGATTCACATTTACAATTGCTAGTCAGATGAATGGAAAATGGAAGAAGAGAAAAATATCAGCATACAAAAAAAACAAAACCCAAATGACCATAACCCTGAAATCTTTTTTCTTTTTCTTTTGGGGGTGGGGTGGGGTGGGGGGGAAGGGTTCTCACTGAAAGGTGAAGGAAAGGCTAAAGGGAAAAGTGGGGTTGCAGAAAGTGAGGGAGGAAAACATACCTCCAACCATGCAGGGGCTCAGCCACAACAAACCTACAAATCAGAAATGATCAAAAACAATTGAGTTGTGGAAAAAGATCTTCACCATTTGTGCCTTTCAGTTACAAATTTCCTCCACTTGACAAATAATTGAATGGATGTGACCAAAGTGCTAGAAAACAAAATCCTTTGTTAGCTTTTCTTTGTAGATCTTGGAACATGGTGCATCACTATTTCATATTGATTAATTTCTTGAAGAGGCTAATCAGTGAAAGGCAGGACAAGTTGGGGTGTGCTTCAATTCTTCTAAAAGGAAACCTATGGGCCCCATCCATCTTCTTGTAAAAACACCAGAGAGTAAAACATAAATTATAAAACCATATCCAGTTAAATTATTCATTCTGGAGGACCTTATCTTACTTTTTTCTTCACTTCATTCTCATTAAATATGGAAACAAATTTCCTCTAATCAAGGCAAAGATTTCTACATTCAATCCTGGGATTCTGAAGAATTTCATTTGCAGCTCAGATTGGATTATTACCTCTAAAGCAATTGAATTCTCAGTTGGTAGATTTGCCAAAAATGATACCTGAAAACCAGAGCTTTGAATCATTTCTATGTCCACAAGATTTAAATCTCATTACTGTTAATTTACACACACACACATACATATATATGATATCACATTCATATATTCAATATCTATTCTCATTTATACACACACTGAAACTTTATTTTCATTGAAAAGAAATAAAGAATTCAAATCAAATCACCTTAAAATATAAAAAAATAGACACGCACACCTAGGCAATTTATTTGATTACATGATGGGGGATATAAATTCAAAGATAGCGAGTGATATATATATATACATATAAATTCAAAGAAAATTGGAACAATATGCAAAGAACACAGACCTTATGGCATACGTCACTGTCTACTGTGCAGTGTCTCAATTATTTACCTGTGCCTTTATCTGATATCTGCATATCTCGCCAATCTTGTGATTCAAATTCATCAACTTGCTTCAAGAATCCAAAGCCAAATTTATTCTGCTGGCATCAATCTCCAAAATTCCCAAATCTTGCTTTACTGATATTTATGAAAGTGACAAAAAGTCCTAAACACAATTTGCAACAGAAACTACAGAAAATGCATCAGACTTTTTAAAAGGGCAGAAGAAAACATTATTCAAACATATGAGATATAGGTGAGTGGAGATACAAGAAACAATATACATACATACATATATATATATATATATGGAAGCAAGTAAGCAACTATGGAATAATGATCACCATGACTAAATTCAACATCTTTTGTGTTTAAGGCCAATATATCATATGCATGTATTCAATATATACATAAACAAAAGTTTACGAAAACAACATATTTCAAATCTGAATTTACCATATTGAACAAAGATAACAAAATAACAAAATCAGCACTAATCAGCATATGATTGGAATAAGCTCAAATGTGTTTGGGCTTGAGCCATTCAAGAATGGTGTCGGGTTTACAAATTCTCATAAGCTTTCTTACATCTCTTCTCACAGAAAAGAAGGCTATTATAAGAGTGACAATCATTTCTGGATATATGCTTAGAGTTTTACTATGATCATATGCATGTTTTCGAGTCAATATTTCCCTTGCAATGCCCCATAGGACGAGAAGCAAACCGAATAAGCCAATTCTTCCATGTTTTATCAAACCTACAAGAGCTCCGGCAACACAGAGGTAGCTTCCGATAACTACCTGTTTTAAATTGGTTTACACATCAGAAGCCATGTTCGTATTTCATGTAATCTGATATCAGAGTTTTTGTAAAAATAAGGTGCTGGAAACACAGGATACCATGAAATGCAAGCAAATTCAGCATGTCTAATGATATGTTCGAAAAGATTTAGCGAGGTTGTACTAACCTCTAAGTGCCTGGGATCGGATGGGGCATTTGCATCCCTTATCTTCGACTTGTAAGAATTCAGAAGCTGTCCGGGGCTTGGAATGGCTGTGCCCTGAGTAAATAATCTTCTAATGGCTCCGGGAAAGAGTAGGGCCTTCAGAACTAACTCAGGGGAAATTCCACTGGCTATCAGTTGGCATGCCATTACTTCTATCGGCGTTTCACACGTACCCATTCTACATGGGAATCTGAGACTCAATGAAACAGTTATTAGAAATCAGAAAAAGCATCAAGAACAGCAAGCAAGCAAGCAAAACGTCGAACTACAAAGACTGCAAAACGTCGTGTTCCTACTTACTCAAAAGTTTCTAAGCACAGTCACACAATCAAGACTGAATCATAATACAAGCATAGTTGTTACTAGAGTTGCAATAACACCATTTCAACTTCAACATAAGCATCATTATTAGATCGCCAAATTGCACACTAGACCATGCAAGAAAGAAACCATTACAATTTCAGACGAACTTCTCTGTCAGGAGTGAGACAAACATTAAACTCCCTGTTAGGCATATTTCCACCAATTCCATTACTTTTTTATCAAACCATGCTTTTGGTGCAACTTTTGCAATTCAGTAATCCATAATCTAATAACAATTCTATATGATTGATATATATATATGTATCTGAACATGCGTTTTGTAATTAACAAGTTTATTGATGCTTATAGCAAACTCTCGATTCAATATTTCGACAAAGAGTTCCATAAAAAAACATAGATAAATATGCATATGTATGTATATATATATATGTATATATTCAGTGAATCTCTCTAATAGGCTCAATGTGTTCAATCACCATTACCAAAGGATTCAGAGAAACTTCAATCTACCTCCAATTCACCTTATTGAGGCCCTTGAAATCGACATCACCCTAATTCATTCACCTAACCATACAGGACTAGCTGATTATAATACATTACAATACAATACATATACCAAATTTCTATTTTCCTTCATTTATGATCCTAACCAACAAAAGCGTAACAGAAATCCTCACGTCGAGACAAATTACGCCAAAAAGGCATTTCCGAAATACGTCGTGGAAGACAACAAAACCGGTGAGTCAAATCAAAATTATTGCAGATGGCTGCGTGCGCTACTGCACCAAAATTTGAAGCGTTTAATTGCATGATAGCATCGAATTTATTTCGGGGGAAACTCTTTCAGTTTTGATACAGTATCCGCTATTTCAATTTTCAAGTTGAACAATCAATCAATAACTCCACCACTACCATCAGCATCATTCCTAGAAATAAATAAATAAAAGGCGAATCTACCTGAATAGGGGAATTTGTAGAATGATCGCGAAGAAATACACACGAGAAGCCACTGCAGAAATCTTCTCCGCCCACTTTCTCGACGAGCGCCCCATTTTGTTGAGATAACGAAATCACAGCACATGATGATATTCAAAGTATAAATAAATGCAATTAATATATACATATATATTGTCATTACTCTTTGACAACAATATTTTAGATTCGTAAAGATTGGAAGTTTTGTAATTTTAAGAAATTTTGAAAAAGGAAAAATATTTGATGTTAATATTGTTAAATATATATATATATAATAGTACAATTTTATTTTTTTAAAAAAATAGTATACAAATTTTCAAAATAAACAAAGTCTTAAATAATAAATGACCTGGCTAAAGAAGTACTCTCTCCCTTAGAAAATAAGTTGCAAAAGATAGTTCGTGTTTTTAGGTGTATAGTATTAATTATGATAATTTAGAAATTAGATTATGTGAAAGAGAAATATATATTTTATTTTTTTATTTGGATGATGTGAGAGAATAAAGTGTGGGTAGAAATTAATTATAATTAATTATTTTCTATTTTAAAAATATTACACAGTGTTTGTGACATACTAAAAAAAAATATTGGTATTTGAGACGGAGAGAGTATTTGTTTAGATTTTAGTTTTAAGTTGATAGATTACATTATAATATTTCCTCAAATTAAAGTGATTTTATTCATATTGTCATTTAATTAATTTCAAATCATTTTTATTTTTTTAGTAATTGAATTTTCCATATGTAATAAAAATTCTCTTACATGCAACAACATAATCTAATTACAGTACAAAATATGTTATAGGTAAAAGTATAATTTCATCTATATATTATACTCTCTCCGTCCAGTTAGAAAGTATACATATTTCAATTTTGGGACGTTCAATTACAAAGTAAACATTTCATTAAATACCTTATTTTTTTTTCCACAAATACCCTTATTTTACATCACATAATTACTTTTATACCAAAAAGTAAGGGCAAAAATATCATTACACTACTTTTAACTGCCAATTATATTAAAATATTATTATTTCTTGAACACCGCGCCAAAAATAATTGTATACTTTATGAGTGGACGAAAGAAATATTATATATAAAAATTACAATATAAAAATAAAAAAAATACTCTGTTCATTCCATATGATTATTTTATTATTTTGTTTTCGAAAAAATACAAAATTTAAATAATAGATATTTTGAATTTGGAAGTTAAAAGAAACAGAATCTAAACACTTCTTACGTAGCAAAAAAAAAAATATAATAAATAAATAAAAATTAAACAATAATTTTTTTTTTATAAATTATATATATATTTAAAAAAAATAAATCCAACGGAGCCTATCACTTGATTTAAACATGTACGAAATTTGCCATTTTGTGGGCCTTTCACTACATTAATTATTAAAATAGCCACTCACAGATTTAATTATTTTTTAAGGAATTTATTTATTCTTTACGACCAATCCGGATAAGGTGACAATGATGTGGTTTTTTGGCATTAGAAAAGAAATATATTACATAAATGCATTAAATGATTAACCTAATGCAAAATACCCCTATTTTAAAAATTATATAAAACTTTTATGAGTAAATGTATTTAATTTTGAATATTTTTAAGTAAAATAAATTTAAAAATATTTATTTTCTAAATAATACAATTGTCATTTTTAAAAACATTACAAAGCAATTAGTGGTTGCGATATTTGTAAAGCAAACGTTGTCACTTTCATAAGTGGAAATTTTTGTGCAGATTGCCATCTTTGGAAGGAACAATAATTTCTTTATATATATATATCAACAATGTACTTAATTTTTATATGATTTGGTGTGTTTGTTTTTTTTATTTAAAAATATTATTATTCAATCTGTATAATTTTAATAAAAATACGTAATTTTTTTTTTTCTTATAAAATATCAAACTAAAATATTTACTTAACAAGAAATAAAAATAAAAATATATTTAAAATCAATTTCAAATTACAATTAAATTTGAAAGTTTGTATATGATTCCAAATTATTTATTGGGTCTTAATATATTGGTTGTATTTTGACTTCATGTAATATTAACTTGATGATTTATTGTAAAAAAAAAAAAAATTATATTAAAAATTATCCGTAAAAATTATTATTGAGAATAATAAAAAAGCAAACCAAACCTAACATAAATTCTTTATCCGAGCTAATATTTTTAATTTACAATGTTTGTTCGCTTAGTATTTTTTAGTGTAATGATTCCTCATAAATATTATTTAAAAAATATAATATGCTTATTCATCATCGACACTAACATATACACTTAAATATTAATTAAAGGTGTATTTACTATGCTTGACATATTGTACTCCCTCCGTTTCAGATACCGTGTCTGCTACACTATAGACACGGTATTTTAGGAGGGGTGTTCTTAATAGATAATTAAGAATGTATTAGTGAAAATAATTATTCTATAATATAAATAATTATAAATTAAGATTAAGATAACTAATTAGTTTAATTAAAATTAAAAAATAAAATAAAATTAAAAAATTTAAAATGAGATTAAAGTGTATAATCATTTTCCAAAAAGGAAAGTGACATGGTATGTGGGACGGACAAAAACGGCAACGTGGACATGGTATCTGGGACGGAGGGAGTATATACTTATACTCCCTTCGTTCCAATACAATAATCTTGTTTATCATTTTTGTTAGTATCAAAACAATAGTCTTATTTTCATAAATAATCCTATTACCGTAAAACTATCTTTATTTTTTCATTTCTATTACACAATTGTCACTATTTTTTTACACTAATACACTCACAATAACAAAAAAAAAAAAGTCTTTTATCCATTTTTTTACCAACTACCAATATAATATCAATATTCCTTAAATCCCGTGTACAATCCAATTAAGACTATATTTATGGGACGGAGGGAGTATTTTTTTAATATTCTCATTTTATCCTCCATAGTAAACAAGTTCATAATTAAGGGGATTAGTGCATGGCTGCTATTAAAATTAAATTATAGTATTAAATAAAGATTGATTTTGATAAGTGTAGATTTGATGTAATGAATATGGCCTAACAATTCTCCCAATCTAATCATTTATCTGCAACTTGCCATGACCTATTATTTACACCTAATTCAAAATTATTTTATTTATTTTAGGGGTTATAAATATCATCATGAATTTAGATCTACAAATTAATTAAATAGAGTACAATAATATATATATATATATATATATATTAAAAGCTAATTTTCTCTATCTCCATTTGAAATAATTTTTGTGCATAATTTTTTCTACAGTTATATTTTAATTTAATACTCCATTTTGCACGTAAATTTTAGTATATTAGTATTATATTGGTAGTGGTACAATTGATATACACAAAGACTATTATACCCCTTAATATTTATGGTATTAAGTGGTACTATTTGATGGCATTTGTGTAATATTATATAGAGGGTGATGTAATTTTATATTTTAGTGGATATTTCCTCCTTTTCAGCCAATTTGTCCACTTCAGTTTAGGCACGAAATTTTAGGTATTATGTAATTAGTAAGTAATTAAAAATGTATTATTAAAAAAATTATAGATTAAGATTAAGATGACTAAATAGTTTAATTAAAATAAAATTTTTTATAAATTAGATTTTTTAAAATGAGATTAAAGTGTATAATTATATCTCCAAAAACAATTTTCAAAGTATGTGGAATAGACGAAAATAGAAAAGATGAACAAATTAAGTGAGACGAATGTATAATTTTAAAATATTTATATTGTGTAGAATGAGAAATCAGATTTACTAGAAAAATAAAAATAAAAATAATGCGTTTGAACATACAAAAATTGTAAAATATAAATCTTTTGATTGAACATAATGTGAGTGTATTTTTATAAAGTTATTGGTTTTGATATTATTAATTCCAAAATTTTAATAAATATCAAGTAAAATTCAAATTAACATTCCAACTTCTGTTTTTTTAACTTGAAGATAAATTTTAGAAACAATAGTATTTTATATTTTTTATGTCCAAATTAAAATATTATTTTACCCTTTTTGTCCGTTTCACTAAATATATAAAAATATCTTATATTACAATAAAAATAATTACAAAGTAATACTAAAATATATTTAATTTTTAAATAAATTACAAATATATTATTAAACATATAAATAATTTATATATAAAGTGCAAATGACAAAAATATCAAAATCATCTTACACTTTACTTATCAACGAAGGAGAGAATACGATGCTTTATATGAGAAAAAAAATTATTTAATGTAATTGTTACGTATAAAATTTAGAATTAGGTTAAAAAGCGTAAAAGAAAAAATGGGCCTGGCAATAGAGTTGATTGAACTGGCTGAAGGACACCGTGGGGAACTCAAGGAAAATAGGTTTATTTCTAAGGAAAATATAGGTCGGGAGGTCCTCAGGACGGAAAGACCTCAGGTCGGGAGGGCCTCAGGTCGGGAGGTCCTCAAGACGGAAAGTCATCAGGACGGAAAGTCCGCAGGTCGGGAGGTCCTCAGGTCGGAAAGTCCGCAGGTCGAAAAGTCCTCAGGACGGAAAGTCCTCAGGTCGGACAGGTCGGGAGGTCCTCAGGTCGGGACTCTGCGGCTGGACCAACAAGTCGGATGGTCTGTTAGTCGGGAGGTTTGTAGCTGAACCAAACAAGTCAGATGGTTTGCAAGTCGGGAGGATTGGCAGTCGGACCAATACGGTTGTAGATTGGCAGTCGGGCCAAAAGGGCGGAAGGTCTGTGGTCGGCTCAAAGAGTGAAATATAGTGACAATTTTGGTCCGCTGAGGACACGTGTCAGCAGGAGAAGGGTTGGAAGACGGTTGGAAAGGAGACGTTGTAACCGTTCGGGCGACGGTTTTCAGTACAGTTTCCCAGGGAATATTTAAGGGTTTGGATTTTTCTGGAGAAGGTATCTTCAATCAACTTCAACAAAGCAAAGTCAGATTTGGGGATCACCACTTTAAATTTCAGTCTTTTATTTTCCAGTTTATTTTCTGTACCATACAGTGTTTAGAGATTCCTAATCTCAGGCACTAATTAATCAAGTTTAAAAATATTTTC